CAATTTGTGCATTGAATTAGTTACAAAGTTGTAATGGAGGAATGAACAAAACTCAAAGGTTTACCCATTGATCCAGAGTTGGTGCCACTCCTGCGCTGATACCCATCCTTGCCATTACTTTGTTAGAAGCTCTGTGTCTGGAGATATTGCAATTGATTGGGAGCCTGGGCACATTCCCACAGAAAGCTTGCATGACACTGCTGCTGCCACTTCCGCTGAAGGCATCTCCAAGAGCTCCTCTCTTCCTCTTGTTTTACAGTCTTCTGAACCCAACTAGCAAGGAAAATACAGTTTGCAGGCTACCACTCCTGCAATTCAAAAGTGGGTATAGAAAGGCAAATCTGGAGCTATGCCCACAGAAAATAACCAAGATGCATACAATATGATATGCAACAATTTAAGTATTTTAGATAGATGATGGATAGATAGATAGATAGATAGATGATAGATAGATAGATCGATTATAGATATATACCTATTTCACCACTGAAGAAACTGAGGCATAAAGAAGCAAAATAATATCAAATTCATATAACTATTAAGAAATGAAATTTAGATTTGAACCTAGGTAATATAATTCTAGAATTCATACCTGCCATCATTCTATTACAAACCAGCAAGCAAGGTGCATTGGGCCCTCATTCATTTGCCCAAGGAAAATAAACCAGTTTTTCCCCAGGGGCCCCTTTCTGAGTATTTCTGAAACATACCAGTCTAGGTATCACATATGACCCGGTCTTCATGTACCATTGACATCATCTAAACTTGATCTATATAGCCCTCCCTCTTTCTTTAACCAACAGTCTCAATGACAAGTTATTTCAGATGGTTTTCTTGTCAGTTCACCTTCCCTTGAGCACCTGCTACCACTTCATTGGCTTCCGCATGAGGGAAAACTCTGCTCCTTGCCTTTCTCCTACTTGACATGAATGCCTCACCCAAACATGGAGCAGTTCCTCTCTTTAATTTCCCACAACAAAGCTAACAATGAGACTACCATTTGGCAGGATTTTATTGTAAACGGGATATAAAAGCTATCAGAACACAGGATAAATTACAATTACCATGAAATGAGACTGCTTTTGGAGTGGACTAGTACAGGCCTATCCTTAGAGTCCGGCCACAGGGAATGCCCTGGCCTGGTTTCTGACCTGCCTCTCAACAGCCAGGAACAAGTTATTCTTACCACATGGTGTGTTTCTGAGTCTATCTCTGTTCATCAGAGTCCTGGCCCACTGCCTAAGCTCCAGTTAGAGAAGGAGTCCCTTTCTCACCCAAATTTAAGATGGAATTTGCCAGATTTTATTTCCCTTCCCTTAATAAGAAAAGATATCCAAAACTTAGGATGCAAAGAAATAACTATATGGCCTTCCTAGATCATAGTCTAACACAGTCCAATGTGTCTGTGCAAAACTTACCTAATTCTCTAAGATGATTCAATTTATTTGATTTACTGTTGATAAGGTTTCATTCTCTGTGCAGTTAGATGTTAACCTTTAGAAAATTGTTAAATTGCAAATAAATTTTGTCCAGTTTAGACACAAATGATTTCTGTCTGATAGAAAAGATAACCCCAAAGGTTATGTTTTATGGTCTTGGAAGATATTTAGTATTTCATCTAACAATGCCATATCAGCATTTTTCTCCCTTTCTGTTCCTATACATACTTTGGCCTTTTCTATACTCTATTGGACCAGTTTAACCTCTGGCTTAATCTTTAAATTAGGTTTTTAAAATGAGCTTACTTCATATGTTTGTGAGTTTTGCTTGCTTTGGCAGCACATATACTCTTTTCCATGAGTCATATTTTCAACTTTTAGAATATTATATTTCCATACCCTTATTGGTTTCTAACAGTATTAGTAAAAATAGAAGTGCCCACTTTCTTTACCAATTATTAAGACAAATTCTTAATAATTTGGGCTTTCTAATGCAAGTTGCAGACTAATTAACTTCATTTAACAAGAAAATGGTTTGGTGTAATATTTGTTTTCTTTTGTTGTTTTGTTTTTTGTTGTTGTTTTTTATCACTAATGAATTTAATTCCAATTTAGGGTTACTACAACAGCAAAACAGAAGTGTAGCTCCAGGAGGCAAAACCGCTGCCGCAGCCGCCGCCCCCTTCTTCTTCTTCTTCTTCTTCTTCTTCTTCTTCTTCTTCTTCTTCTTCTTCTTCTTCTTCTTCTTTTTATTGATTATGGTCTCACATAATTGTCCTTATTCCCCCATTCCCATCCCAAACCCCTCCCTAGATATGCCCCTCCTCCCCATCTCCCTCCCCACCCCCCCAGTTGTCCATGGCCACTGACTAGGCCCATATGTATGCACACAAGTCCTTTGGTTGATCTCTTCCCCTTATCCCCATTCCCCCTTATTTTCCCTCTGAGGTGTGAGAGTCTGATCGCTGGTTCTCTTTCTCTGGGTCTGTTTATGTTGTTCATTATTTCCTCTAGATGTGTGAGATCATGTGATCCAAGAAATACCCTTGTAAGAACCTAAACTGCAACAAGCCATAATGGTTATGCTGAGAGGCAAATGAATCAGTCTGTATTCAGTCCTTTAGTGTCCCAATTTCAATGCCAGATAGTTCCTTATGTGTACATGCCAGCCATGATATTTCAGATCTGGTTGGTGGACAAATGGCGGTAATGCAGGTCCCCCTGTTTCTGGTTTGGTCCTGGGCATCCTTCAGCAACCTGCAGCTGCTGTCTGCTGGTATGCTGAGGCATTGTCAGCATCTTCCATCTCTGAATTGTGTCTCTTCTGTCTTCATTGGTGTAATATTTGGATCTGTGAAATACAGAAATTCTGCAAAAGTTTCCCTAAACAGAGCAAGATATTTCTCAGCACTCCTTGAGCTTAGAGAGTGGTTTCATTATTTACTTCTTACTGGAGAACCTCTTTGTTTATCTTAACTCCCCTACTGTGTCTTGTTTTAACAGCATGTGAAACCTGTATCCCTCTCAAGTGTTGCACCTACTATTTAATTCCTGGTTAAAGATTAGATACTCATAATCATAAGTGACTTTTTACTTATGAGTAACTTCCCAAAGAAGAATACATAACCTTTATAAAGGCAAATACTTGGCAATTTGATGGCATCCTTTGTGACTATACAGAGAGAGCGAGAGGGAGAGAGGGAAGACATTTTGGACAAAGGAACACATATTTAAATAGGGCTCAAAAGGTCCAAATAGTTTCCAAAGTCTCTGTCAAGAATAAAGAAGAGGCAGAGTACTTGCTTTGTTTATAATTAACTAAATAGCTTAATGTGTTCCCACTTTCCAATAAAGTGGCCTGTGCAAGGACTATCTGAATTCCACCATTTTCCCCCAAGTTCCTTTCTAAGCCTGTTTTTCTAATTTCCTCTGATCTCAGAATACAAGTGACATTTTTTCAAAATTGAGATCTAAAATGGCTAACAAGTATTTTTCAAGAACTTTTATTGATGTAAGCTTAATTTACAGTGCATCTGTTTCATCCCAACCACTGTTCTAGTTGCTGGGAGCAAAAGTGCACACACAATTCATGCTTTTGGTCTTTTAAAGGATGCATGCAATTGTCTGGCTCATTTATTTGTCCAAGTGAAAATATTTCTGTAGGCAAGGTGCCTTGGGACAACAGGATAAAGATCTATCAGACAAGCAGGCAGAGTATCCATTCCCAGTGCTATTTCTCCAGAGTAATGAGAATTAAATTCAATTCCCAATATTAATCTACATTCATTTTCAGACTGGTCATGACCTCGAAACCATGAATAGCCACAATTTAACTGGTGGGCTGAAGAACCCAGCTGGGACTCCCCTCCAAAGATATACTAAAGCCATAAAAAAAATAAATTCAACCCAGTTGCAGCCACATTTTTTTCAATCACCACAACTGCCCCCACCCATTGCACACAGCATAGCTTATTCTGCTTGAGGGATCAATGGATTATCTGTTGTTTCTAATAACTTGCATCGTTGCTCCTCTCTATTGTGGATAAAATGGAGGGCTGAAAATAGCACAATTAAGGCTGAAGATAACGCAATGGCTTTTAGAAATCAACATGAAGGATATAATTTGTTAACTCTAGATAGCCATCGACTTAACTGCTTATAGTTGTAGCACATGGTAGAAAGGTGTAGGTGTGTTTCTGAGGTTAGCAAACAGGCCAGAAAATATGCCAGTGAGTGCTGGCCCATGAGGAGTTACTAGAGTTATCAAAAATAATAAAGTCAAAAGGAAAAAAAATCAGTAGCTCTTATTCTAAATAACCTGAGTCAGAGGATGTGATAAATCACTGATTCTTATATTGAAAATATATAGAATATGTTTATGACATTTTATTTAAATTAAAGTTTAAAATGTTATTAAAAACCATTGTACAGTTCCTAAAAAACAATTAATGTTAGCCAAATTTTAATTTGTATGTAACATATTTCTATTATTTAAAGTCTTTCTATATATAGTCTTTCAAGTAACCCAGAGCATACTCACATATATTATCCCATTTATCTTCATAATAGTCCCTATGAGATAGCAAGCAGGGGTTATTATTATCACCAGCTTGAAAATGGGAAAGTGAAGGGACAATAGGTTAAATGAATAGAAGCAGGCATCAATTGAGCATCAAAGCTTCAAAGCCCTGCAAAATAAAACCATGCTTACCGTAGTTTACAATTTATTTATTTTTAATTATGGTTTCCCAGGTGTTTTAAAGGCAGTATTCATTACCTTAGACTTTATCTGGTAATTGTAAAATGCAGTGGTTTTTCAATTACCCTACAGGCTCATATTTTATTTCTAGAGTGATAGTTCACATAAGAAAAAAAATACCTGAATAATGTGCATCTAAACATTCATAAGATTTTTGGTCAATAGTTAATATATGAAGAAAATTCAACAATTTTTATTTATGCACCAATGCTTGCATAATTAATTTATGGATAAATGTTAAAATGCAATTCACATTTTCTTGTTTGGGCTTTCCTTTTTTTTTTTTCTTTTTCTTTTTTTTCACATGTGGGAGCCAATCTCTGATGCAGGAAAGGTTAGAGAGAGATCTTGTCATCAAGCCTTTCCTAGCTCCTATATAATATATGTGGCAGAGTCAGGCCCATTTGGGCTTTCCTACTCTAAATATACCTCAGATGATTATTCACTTTCAAATGTGTCATATTGAGAGATTTCAATCAGGATGCAAAATGGCTAATTCAGATCACTTTTATAACCTTGGTTCAAATTAAAATTTGGGGGAAGGTCTAATATACGTTAGTCACAAAAAAGAACAACTAAATCCAGACAATAAGAATCTCTAAACCTTGCCTTAATATTCGTCTGCTATTGTGCATCAACCATGGGGAATGGCTTAATTTATGTTCTTGCCTGAGGGGGTACTCCACAGAGGCATTCAACCTGTGTTCCACTATTTGACTCTTCCCTTCATCTCCTTCCTGTATTTACATTATCTTTTCTTTGCTGATCTTACCATATAAAAAATCTTTTATAAAAACAGAGGCAAGAGGTTAGAATTCTTTATTTACTTTCTTTTCTATTTTTTTTTTTTAGTGAAAGGTGTTATGTATGTACAATTCAAATATGATTATAGCATAGCATCGAATATGGTTATACCATTTCCTGAATAACAGTTTCTAGAAGGGGATTCAGTAAATGGCACCTTTAGCCATTTATCAACTTGTATGTACTGCTTTTCTGAGAATATGCACACTGCTCTCTTGCACTGATAACTATACTTAGAGCAATGGGGCCTCTGCGTCCATGTCCTGGTAAATGCTGCAGAATGACTTGAACAGAGCTGAGGACTGTGTAACAGGTCAGAGGTTGTTGCCCTGGTGAAATATTCCAAATGGAAATGAAGGGCACCTGGAACAAGGAAATTCACATAAAGGAGCCAGCACATTGCCTGGGCAGCCATCAAAGACACTAAGGAAACCCTGGTTACCTGTCTTCCTTCCTTTTCAGATTGTAGGTGGCAGCTAAGCCACTGACCAGTTTATGGAAATCTGTGTGTGTGAAAATCTCAGGTGGATAATTTTTAGATTACTGTGCACAATAATGGCCTTTCTAGGTGACAGTGGAACACTTAAATCAACTGTGCATTTAGTTGTGTTGACCACTTAACTATGTACTAGTACCATGCCTGGCAAAGTGAGGCTCACAAGCCACATGTGGCTTTTTGGCCCCTTGAGTCTGGCTCTTCCACAAAATATCATGGCCTGGGCAAGTCTATTTTGAAGAAGTGGCATTAGAAGTTTAAGTTTAAAAAATTTGGCTCTCAAAAGAAATTTCAATCGTTGTGTTGCTATTTGGCTCTGTTGACTAATGAGTTTGCCGACCACTGCACCAGTAGCTTCTCTAAATGACTATTTCATTTGCTGCCAACAAAGAACAAAATGTCCTTGGTTCTTCAAGGCACTTGAACTTCTAATGGACCCTTTTTGAAATTTCATGTTGATAAGAATAATTCTATTTTTTTCACATATGTCAATAAAAGCACTGTGATAAAAATAAGCCCGTTTAATGAATACAATAGTGATGATTTTCCAGTGCTGAGATGCATTGGCTCTGCAGCTCTTCATGCCTGGAGCCAAATGCAGAAAGTCAGATGGTGATGTGATTCACCATATTCATAAACCCGAATTACTCTGATGTTTGGGCTGGATTTCGACGAGGTCTGGGGACGGGGGTTATGATGTGAGCGGCAAAACAGGGGGAGTTGATCAGGTCTTCTGAAGTCAATCTGATCACCTTCCTCCCCAAGTTCACTAATACCTTTGAGGGCAATTACTACTTTCTGCTACTTTTGTTTTCATTTTGCACAGCGTCCAAGGCAGTGTGAGCTCACCCGGAAGAGCACACTGTGCTCACACTAATAAAATAAGGAGTCTCCCCTGATCACCTACCGTATTTTTCGGACCATAAGACGCACTTTTTTCCCCCCAGAAGTGGGGGGGAAAAGTCCCTGCGTCTTATGGTCCAAATATAGCCTACACATATACTTTAAAAAAAAAGTTTTTTTACTTGCCTGGCTCTGTGTGGTCTCTGTGTGCTTGCCCGGCTCTAAAATGGTTCTAAATGCTGCTGTTTACTTTACAGGGTTGATTACATGTGTTTATGACTGTGATGTTGGGTTTTAATGCACATAAAATATTTTAGGACACTATTTGTTTCAGAATCTTTTTTTCTTCATTTCCCTTCTCTAAAAACTGGTGCGTCTTATGGTCTGGAGCATCTTATGGTCCGAAAAATATGGTAATCTTAGAGTGACCCGCGTCCTAGGCACTGCATAACCCAGAGCCCTGTTTAATTTTATTTGCAGCCCTTATCACTAACTGGCATGTAGGAAACTGCCTGAACTATTATCTTCACAAAGTAAAATTCTGTTCAATGAATACATAACTGAAGAATAATAAGGTCTTTAAGGTTTTCCTCATCAGAAAAGCAATTATTATTGGCAGACTGACCTGTTTAATTTTGTGTAGAGCTATAGACACATGCCTGGGAAATAATGAGACAGTTTTGCTCTTATCACTCTGAATTCCCTGAAATGAGAAAAAGCAAACCAGAATGATCCAGCCTTCTACATTTCTTAACATCTATGAGTACCATGAAACCAAAGGTGTCATAACTCAGGCTGGAACTGAGTTCAAATTACTACTAATAGCAATTATTTTGAAGAAGTAGAACTTATTTGTAAGAAGAGTACTGGACTAGGGAAGGATTGAGTCATTAGAATCTACCTTTTATCATATAAAAGTCAAAATAGATAGAAATAATGGATGTTCTCCTTGTCATAGCTGTGACTCAATTCTTCCCTAATCCAGAACCCCTCTTACGAGTAAGTTCTACCACCTGAAAATAATTATTAATGGTATGTCTACTAAGTTCTCTTTTTCAGTGGTCTAGTTGATGTAACAGGATCTTTTATTGAACTAAAGAAGTGATCTTTCCATGTGTATAAAGAAAATGGGTGTCTATTATTCAGAATATGCAATGTTATGTTGCAGTAGTAAAAACACTAAAATTGTAGTCATTTAAAATACCTTTTCCTACTTACTTATACGTGAACATGAGTTAGCCTAAGAGCTGAGTATAACATGAGGATTCAAACTGAGAGACATTCTGCTAGCTTACAAGTCAAGTCACCCTTATAATGTGATCTTCCCCGTTTGCTTTGGCAGGGAAGAAGAGTGCAAATATTTGCTCCTCACTCTGAAAAGCTTCTATCCAAAAGAAACAAAGACAGTCATTACAGTTGCTCACATTTAATGTACTGAGAGTCATATGGGCATTCCTAACTTTAAGAAGATATATTTTCTTCTTGTCCATTCCAGAAAGCTCTAGTTATCTATAATAATCTATAATAATAAAAGCATAATATGCAAAGCTACCAAATGACTCAACAGCAGAACAATGGGCTGGACTACTTTCCAATGACCACACTGTGACACCCACTGGTGCTAGGCCAGCCAAGATGGATGTGATGCAATTGGTTGGGAGCTGGGCCATCACCCCATGTTTGCCCTGCAGAGGGTGGCCCAGGCCACCAACAGGCAGATTGCAATGGATGGTCAGGGCCTCTCTCTTCAGGGGTGATCCATCATAGAGCCCCAGATGGGTAGGTAGGGGCCTACTTCTTTGGGGTGATTGATCACAGGGCTCCATGACAGTAAGAGGGAACAGATTTCATGCACTGAAGCTCTAGTCTATATATATAAAAGGTTAATATGCAAAGTGACCCCTTGGGAGTTGGACTGGGAGACAGGGAGTTCAATTGCTTGCTATGATGTGCACTGACCACCAGAGGCAGGTGTGGAATGAAGGAAGACCCCAGCCAGTGGTGGCAGCTGGGGAAAGGAGGCCCAAGCTGGCAGCAGGAAGGCACCAATCAGCCCTGATGGCAGGCCAGACCCTACCCATGCAAGGATTTCATGCACTGGGCCTCTAGTATCTTCCATAATAGCTTTTAGCATATAAGAATGATTACAATAGAAACTGGTTGTAGCAGGGCAATGAAAAAAGATATGGAGAAAAAGAAACCTTCAGCAGAAAACAATTCAGAGAAATAGGCAGCAAGAAAATGAAAAATGGGTATGTTGCAGTCAGTAAAAATGAGAAGTGTTATTTGCAACCCTTCTTTCCTTTTGCTTTCTTCCCCTTTCCTTGTTTCTCTCCTTCCTTCTCTCTTCTTTCCCTCTTTCTCTCTTTCTCTCTCTCCATTTCCTTTTGCCTCTCTTTTTCTCTTTCTTTTCTTTTATCTTTCCCTCAATGTCTGGTATGGGACAAAAATATTGCTAGTAATTTGTGGTATATAACCAAAAACAAGATAGCGCATTACTAATGCCTCAGATGATACACCTCACTCCATACCTGTCTTGGGTTCTTTTATTTTTTAGGATGACAATGATATGATATAATCACATAAACTAACTTTTAGTTTAAGAATGTGAGACCACTTTAGCATTGGCTCTCACTGAGGTCACACGGCATGACTTTCCTAACAGAAGAACTAGGAATTAGATGTGTATTTGGAGAGTCTGGGAGTCCCCACTGTATCACCTTCCTCCTGTCAGTGTAGAGATGGCATCTTCATCAGCACACTGTGGCAGCCAGCAGAGCAGGTAAAGTGTTGGTGTGGTTCCATCACACTGTCCCCAAATGGAGGCCTACTACCTGTTAAGTAGCTGAGTGACTGAAATCATGGATCCTTTCTGTCATTCAGAGATGCTCAGCTGGTTCATTTCAATTCTTTGCAATCAATCACACTAAATGCAAACCAACATGTATACCATCACAAAATGTATTTTTATTTTAGGGTCTAAAAACTTTAAATTTTCTCACTTCCCAACTAGAGAGTTTCAACAACAGGTAAATATTAACCTAGAATAGTCCCAGGATTTTTTTCTGGCATAAGCACACACACTATGTAGAGAATCTTACCTAATAACAGAGAAACATGTAAATTGACCGTACCTCTGCTACTGCCCACAGCCAATCAGAGTGAGTAAGCAAATTAACCCATCAAAGTTGGCAGTTAATTTGCATACAAACGTGGGTCCTGGCAGCCTCCTTGGCACCCAGGTCACTCCCAGCTGGCCATTGGAGGGGGGTGGGCACCCTTCCCAAGTCTGTGATCAGAGGAGCGG